TGGGGGGTTTCTTGCTCTTTGGCAAGGAGCTGTGAATGTAAGCCTCAGACTACTCTGGGGGAATCCCATGTGCACCACTGGCCACTAAGCAAATCAGAATCTCTGGAGTGGGGCCTAGGTATCAGTATGTTTTAAACACTCCCCTATACATATATATATAATTTTAAATTAATGGGCTTTTTTTTAAGCAGTTTTAGGTCTACAGAAAAATCGAGTGGAAAGTACAGAGACTTCCCATATACTCTCCCTTCTCTGTCCCTGCAGTTTCCCCTATTATTAACCTCTTGCATTAGTGTGGTACATTTTTAACAACTGATGAGCCAATATTGATATATTATTATTATTAACTAAAGTCCACCGTTTACATTAGGGTTCACTCTTTGTGTTGTACAATCTATGGGTTTTGATAAATGCATGATGACATGTATCCACTATTATAGTATCATATAGAATAGTTTCACGGCCCTAAAAATTCCCTGTGCTCCATCTATTTCTCCCTCCCTCTTTCGAATCCCTGGCAACCACTGATCTTTTTACTGTCTTCCTAGTTTTACCTTTTTAGAATGTCATATAGTCGGAATCATACAGTATGCAGCCTTTTCAGATTGGTTTCTTTCACTTAGCAACATGTATTTAAGGTCCCTCCATGTCTTTTCATGGCTTGATTGTTCACTTCTTTTCATACCTGAGTAATATTCTGTTGTCTGGATGTGCCACAATTTGTTTGTCCATTCACCTATTGAAAGATCTCTTGGTTGCTTCCAAGCTTTAGAATTATGAATAAAACTACCATAAACGTTCATGTGCAGATTTCTATGTACACATAAGTTTTCAACTCATTTGGGTAAATGTTAAGGAGCACAATTGCTGGATCACGTGGTAAGGGTATGTTTAGTTTTGTGAGAAACTGCCAAACTCTCTTCCAAAGTGTCTGTACCATTTTTGCATTCCTGCCAGAAAAGAGTGAGAGTTCCTGTTGCTCCACATCCCCACCAGCATTTGGTGTTGTCAGATTTTGAATTTTGGCCATTCTGATAGATGTGTAGTGGTATCACAGTGTTGTTTTAATTCGTAATTCCCTAGTGACATATGATGCTTATTCTCTTTTCATATGCTTACTTGCATATTCATATATCTTCTTTGGTGAGGTGTCTGTTCAGATCTTTTGCCCATTTTTAAATTGGGTTGTTTGTTTTCTTATTGTTGAGTTTTAAGAGTTCTTTGTATATTCTGGATACTAGTCCTTTATCAGATATGTGTTTTGCAAATATTTTCCCCCCAAACTACTGCTTCTCTTTTCATGCTCTTAACAGTGTCTTTTGCAGATCAGATGCTTTTAATTTTAATAAAGTCCAACTTAATCACTTTTTTCTTCAAACATACTGCCAGAGTTGAGATCCAAAGCCCAAAGAAAAGAAGAAATAAGACCTGGCTGCATTTTTGCTTTATCATTGATCTCTAAGGCTGTTTCCCTGGGAAATTCAGCTCCATAGATCACGAAATAAGTGGGAAACCATCCTATCACATCGTTTCTGCAGCTATCTCTCTGAAATGTACATGAAATCATGGGAAAGTGAAACAGTCAAGTTGATCTGGGGTTCAAACCTCCTGAGGTGAAGACGGTGGGCAGTCATACAAAGTGACTGCAAGATGGCAAATGGAAGGGAGAGTGTGGGAACAGAGCCCCTCGATGGAATGTCATCAGCAATGCTGGGGGCAAGCGCTCTGCCACTCACAGCCATTAACATGTGCTGTGCCTTCCACCGCCTGGTCTGAATTTATTTTTTTTCTCAAAAGCTTGCTGCCTCCTCCACAAGATGGAATTCATCAAAAGACTCATGACTTCTTTTTAAATTGCTTTTTGAAAAGTCCAAAATGTATGAATATTTCACTATTACGATAGAGTGGGGGTAGGGAGCCATGTTTGTGGACAGCAAAAGTAAAGTGATTTTAACAGAAAAAAGAATGACAAAGAAAAGGAGAATAAATACTTGGACCCTCTTCGTTAAGGCGGTAATGTGGCTCCTTAATCTATCCCAGCTTCCACAGCTCACGGAGGGGAGGGGAAAGTTTATCCCATGAATCCAGATTTCCCGGAGTTGCAATAACAGCCCCGGGAGGAGAGCCTTTTCCTCCGCAGTAATGGATTCACATCTCTTCAGTCTCAGGGACACGCTGCTGGTGGTCGTCATTCCTTTATCCTGGCTCCAAGTAGAGATCTTTCAGAGGTACCCGAAAGCACAAACTCTTTGAGCTGCTGTGCGTGATGATGCCTGATCCAGAGGTCCAGTCTCTGTGTCCTCCAGGAGAATCTCATTGTGGGAACAACTTGGGGAAGCAGATGAAAGGTGGTTATGACAGCTTACGAACTCACTTAGGAGGTGGCTGTAATAGAATCACATCTAGACCATTTAAAATCGTCTTTACTCTTTTTTATTGCAGTCAAATATATATAACATAAAATTTAGCATTTAAAACATTTTATGTGTCCAATTCTGTGACATTAAGTACTTTCACATTGTTGGGTGGCTATCACCACCATGCATCTCCAGAACTTTTTCGTTATCCTAGACTGAGACTCTGTTCCCATTAAACACCAACTCCCCATCTCCCCTTCCCCCAGTCCCTGCAACCACCATTCTACTTTCTATTTCTATGAATTTGACTACTCCAGGTAACTTAAGTGGAATCATACCGTATTTTCCCTTTTTGTGTCTGGCTTATTGCACTTAGCATAACGTCTTCAAGGTTCATCCATTTTGTAGCACATATCAAAATTTCATTCCTTTTAAGGGCTGAATAACAGTAATTGCATGTATATACCACATTTTATTTATCCGTTCATCCACTGATGGACATGTGGCTATTGTGAATAATGCTGCTGTGAACACGGGTATGCATATCTCTCTTCGGGCCCTGCTTTCAATTCTTTTGGGTGTCTACCTAGGGGTGGAATTGCTGGCTCACACAGAAATTCTATGTTCATCTTTCTGAGGAACCACTATACTGTTTTCCACAGTAGCTGCACCATTTTATATTACCACCAGCAATGCAAAAGTATTCTAATTTCTTCACGTCCACACCAAAATTGGCTTTTTTGTTGTTTTTTTGAGAACTGCCACCCTAATGGGTATGAGCTGGTATCTCATTGTGGTTTGATTTGCATTTCCCTAATGACTAATGACGCTGAACATCTTTTCATCTGCTTATTGGCCATCTGTGTATCTTTTTGGAGAAATGTCTGTTCGAATTCCTTGCTCATTTTTGAATTGGATTGTTTTTGTTGTTGTTGAGTTGTAGGAGTTCTTTTTTTATTCTGGATATTAATCTCTTATCATATATACAATCTGAAAATATTTTCTCCCCTTCTGTGGGTTGTGCTCTGTTTTGATTTCACCTCAGATACATCCAGTTTAATTTTTAACCACCCAACTGGGCCAGGTGTCCTCTGTTCCTTCCTGATGTTGTCAGGGACCTCTTTCTGGGCAGACCCACCTTTCTGAGGATGGGCTATAACCTCTCAACATTTTTAGAGTAAATAGTAGAAAATCATCTGTTTGCAGATTCTCCTAGGACTTATAGCACCTTGTCAGCTACCGGTTCAAACCTGTTCCTTTTCGTTTGGATGATTCATTTATTGTATTTATTTTGCATAGCAATTTACCCAAACCTTTACTATTGGCCTCTTAGAACATTTACAAACTTAGAAGAAAAAGTGATTGGATTTTTCCTTCTAAACCTTAAAATCTCTAAGTCATGATTCAGGGACGCGAATTTCATTCACTTAACCTTCTTTGAGGATCCAGAACAGGCCACATGGATATGTCATCACTGAGCACAGAAAGGTGACTCCTACCATCTGTAAAATGGCTCCATGATGCTGCTTCTCTCAAAAATCAGGTCACCTGGGGTTTCCTTAGCACCAGCTGGGAAGAGAAGCTAGCTTTCCGTCCAAGTGTTTTAGCATTTTTCTCTCGCTTTTCCTTTCCCCCTTCAAAAAGCTTTGTTTTAAACTCATCATGCCTGGGTCTCTGCTCAACCATCTCTGTTGCTATTGAACCTGGAAACAAACCAGAAATTGTAGTCTATGACGCTGAGCTGACCATAAATGGCAACCTTGAAAAAATTGAGGCAGGATTTCTGAAGACGACTTTAAGATCAAACTTGACATCCAGCCCTGACGGAGATGTGAAAACTGGAAGCATTTCCTTACTCACTGCTATCGCAGAGTTGGCAACTACATTTCATTATAACTCAAGGAGAACTTAGAAATGAGTCCAAGTGTCATTTTAAAAAGACCATCTTTCATTTTGCGTTTTGTTCAAATTCAGAAAGATCCAAAACTTACCCTATAGGACAGCTGGTCTTTCCGCTGAAGCACCAAATACATGGCTTTCTACCACATTTTTAAAAAAATAACAAATTCGATTATTAAATCAAAGACTTTTTGAAAAGGAGCAACATTATAACAGAAGGTTAATTTAATCACGTCCGGCCAAGAAAAAAATGCTGAGCATAAGACAGTCTTTAGAAATACATAGATTACATATACATGTAATATTGTGTATACACATAAACCATGCATTTCTCTTTGTTTCTTAAGAATATTTCATTAAATGCCCTTGTTTGTGGGACAAATTGTCATAATTATCAGTATATTCTCTATTCTTCATTTGAAAAGAAAAAATAGAAGAATTTTTATTTCTGCAATATTTTTTTGGAGTGGGCTGCTATTGCCACTAGAAGGAACCCTGGACCTCTGGAAGTCTAAAAGTTTGTTTTAAAATGTTGCAAACATTGTGACAATTGTTTTGATTCTATTTTGTTTGCTAAGAAGTACATTTGGGTGTACTTCTTAGCTCCTTATACTGCGTCAACACTCCCCTAGAAAGGAACTATTGCGTTGCTGTATCAAAAGGCCACCAGAGGGGAAAACTTGCAAGGGTCTGGTGTCCCCGAAGGTCACCACTCTGCCACCACACAATTCCCTCTTCCCTCACCCTTTTTGTTGGGAAAAAAAATCCCTGCCTGAGGCCAGTCATGCCGTCTGTCTGGTTTCCCTCTCCTGACGTGTAACCCGAGCTGATGGACTGGATGGTCTCTGCATTCTTTTCCTTTCCCACATTCCACGATGCTGTGAGAGACAGAAAATACCAAGGGAGCTGTTGTTAGCATTTAACACGGAGGGCTTGGCCTGGCACTAATCTTTTTTAAAAATAAGTTTGTTAGACAGAATTAAGTGAGATTAGCACAATGTCAGGAAACAAGAGGTTAAATTAGGACATGAAAGAATGTTTTCACAGAAGTGGCTTCAAATCAGATGAACTCGATGCTTACTTCCAGAAGAAATCTGCAGCAGAGAGTTTTCCAAGGAAAATAGGACTGGGATTCACTTCTGGTTCTTGTCTGGCATCAAGATGAAGCCCACGCTGGTGCAGAGCACGCGAGGAGCCGTCTCTGGGGTGAGGTAGGATGCGGAGCCGGTGCGTGCGTTGGCGCGCGCATGCGCCCCAAATGTCAGTCCCCGTCCTGTAACCCAGATGAAGGTTGATGGTGAGCAGACCTAAGCTTTTGCGCTCACCCCCGCTGCCGTTTTATCCCTCCTGCTTGCAGCATCCAAGTAACCAGCTGGGCCTATAGTTCATCCATGCGCGGTGCAATTTCAGATAGCTTCTGCTGTCAGAGCTGCCAGTGGAAAGTGGAGGTTATTTAGTCTGTTTCAACATCTGGGAAGGAGAGTGTCATTGTTGTTTATGGCAGAAAATGGATGCCCTGGGAACCGGAGCAGATTTTTGCATCACGGATCCAGTTTGGGATACAGAGATAAGCCCAGGCTGGGTTTTTTAGCTTCCACCTCCATCCGCACCTGCATTTTTATTGTTATGTCAGACTCAGGACATTCGTCTTTTTATTGAATTTCATCTGATGTCAGCACTAATCACTTTCCCTACATTAAATTCTCTGCAAACACTAAAATGCCCCCAAGGCTTCCATATGGAAGTGAGCCATCCTCTCCATTTCTCTCGAGTTCTGCAAGTTACAAGTCAGCGGCAGGGGCACTCTCATCCCCAAGGTGTCCTAGAGGGTGCCAGGCTTACTGGCCGTTCATGGTGATGGTGCTTGCCTCCAGCTTCATAAATTGCCCAAAGAAATGGCTCACCTTCAAAGAATAGTCCTTCTACCGGGACTTATTTCTCAACTCTTTGTTGATTTTCTCCTGGATTTTGCTTGACCTCATTTACTCAGCTACTCTCTGTGCCTCACATTTGTCATTACGGCTTTTTTTCTAAGGGCTTTCACTGTTCTTTCCACTCACAGGCCAATCCAGTCTGCACGCTGTTTCCAGACTAATCTTCCCGATGGGCAATCTTTTTGCTCCACTGCAGGCTTCCCATGGTTTTGCAAATTAAGTAAAAAGCCTTGCCATGGCACTCAAACACGGTGCTGTGTGATTCAGCCTCTTTCTCCCTCCCATACGAATGCCCTTTCTCTGACCAGAAACTGTGTCGTCTTATTCTCATCACACATCACAATTTCCCCATCTCGTCCCCTTATTCTGCAGCGTGCCCCTGCCTCCTCTACCTGCTCACAGTGTGCCAGTGTCCTCCCTCTAATTCAAACCTATTTCTGTCATCAAGATGATCTTGCTCTCCCAAAGAGATGAGTTGTATCCTTCTCAGAACCTCCACAGCATGTGCTCAGGCCATTTCCTGGGTGATCTCATCTACACTGTATCACAAGTTATTTGTGTTTATGTCTTAGCCATGAGATCAGGGCAATGCTTTCTAATCTGTAATTCCCTGGAAACTGGCATGCTTGTTTGTATACAGTATGCACAAACAAGTCAGCAGCGATCTAGTGGAATGAACCCCACACTGAAAATCAGACAGATCTGGAGTTGAGTATTAGCTCTATGATCTTGGTCAAATCATAGAACCTTTTTGAGCTCTGGCGTGCCCAAGTGTAAAATGAGCATGAGAACATTTTCCTCAAAGCGCTCCTACGTAACTCAGGTCAGATAATCCAGGTGAAATATAATTATAATATAATTATAAATTACAATACACATATAAGTGTAAACAATAAATATTGGTGAATTAAATTTAAAAGTTTTCAAATAATGTCCACAAATCTCCCCGCTACAATTATGTATCCCAATAACCCTCCAGGTTTTGTGTTAGCTCCGCCCACACTGGACAGTGCCACTTCTTTCGGCTTTTACTCAAATAACTCTTTCAATGGGGCCTCCAGCCACTAAACTAAGAGATACTAACTAAACCTGCCCACAGTAGGTTCCTGTTTCTCTCCTGGCAAATCCACCATGATTTAAGTTGGCTTAGGCGTACTACCACGAGAATGATTTGTTTTCATGGATTTTAAAATTACTATGGACATTATTTCTGATCTTGCTATTTGTGTTTCAAGACCAAAAGTTGAATTGGGGCTGGGCCAGTGTGTGGCAGGTGGCCCTGCATCAATAACAATGCAAAATTGTAGAAACAATCTGGGTAGAGGCAGTTAGAGATAGATGTCACAAACTCTGAGTACAAAGAGAGATGGCGGCTGCTTACACTCAAGCTCACAGGCCGCTTATTTTGCAGAGGGATAAAATAGCTTTCAAGAGCACCCTTACATTTTTCCGAGAAGTGAAGGCATTGCAAAGGGGCTATTTTTATTTGTCCAAGCCCATTGCCTCTAAGGCTATTGTAAGAGGGAGAAAAATGGATTCTGGAACACAGAACTTTATAAATTGTTGGCACCCAAATTTGAATTTGGCCTGTGATTAATTCCTGGGCACGCGTGGCCAACTTTCCAATTGCATGAACGGAGAGCCTTGCGTTATTTCAAAACCATGTGGTAGTTGCCCTGGAAATGATTCCAGATTCCAGGCCATGGCGATCTGAAGGAACTGCCCACTGCCATTTCTGAGACTCAGCCACGTTTGGAGGAGGAAGGGTTGGGGTCTAGGGTCGGGAGGGGAGAAGGAAAGGAGAGTTGGCCACGGAAGATGCAGGAGCAGAGGGACCAAGGCCGCCTTTGCCAGCTCCTCCTTTAAGGGGCTGAGATACTCTATCCTTTCTGTCCACAGCCTCAGCTGGAGGCCCAAGATGGGGACTGGTTCCCTTTCCAGGCTTTGGGCTGGATATCCTGTATTTTGGTGACTTTTTCTCCCTGCATCTCTCCATCCCTTTCTCTCTAGACTGTCAACTTATCTGGCATCATCTGAATAAAATTGTTAGGCCTGGTTGCCTAGTGGGGACTGAGGATCCAGTTGACTCGGGGCAAGAGTAAACAGGACAGGGAGGAGAAGACTGTGACAGTCTTCAGAGACACTAGAGGAACAAAGCACTTGGGCCAGTCACAGTCAATGAGCCCTTGGGGTTGGGTCCCTCCATCCTACCCTTCTCTATGGAGTCTATTTATGAGTTAGCAAGTGCAACCCACATTCAGAACAAGCTGCTGCATCCAGTATGGACAGCTTTCTGAGGTTTGTTAAGTGGGCACTGGGACCACTGGGATATTTTGTTATCATAAACACAGGCAAACAGATGCAGATTGATTGGCAGTTAGAACTCTACTTGATAAAAGGCTTAAATCACCAAGTCATCAGCTCTGGCATGTAGTTTATCACAGCTGGGTTAAGCTGCCGGATTTCCAAAACAACAGAGGGCCGAGGGGAATGATGGTGCCATTGTGACTTTATATGGCTCTTCATGGCCGCCATGTGCTAAATGTTCTCTCCAGGTTGTTTTCAACTCTAAGATCTATAACTCTGTGAACTACTTCTATTTGTTATTGCTCATAAAAGTCACTAGCCATATGTTTTATTCTCACTTGGCACATAAAGGATCAGAAGAGGTTAATTGAATAACCTAGGCCCGTGCAACAAGACAACACTCATTCTGAAACCCGACTTGATGTCTTTGAAGCTCAGAGTCCCACTGCCTTTACCTTCTTTTGTCAATCAATTACACACAGCAAAGGTGGAGTGGTTGTTTATCATCTAGATCGATACTTTTGAGAGTGAGAGGGGACATTATTAATAATCATTCTGGGACGACAGGCATAAACGATGATATATGGCTACTTCAGGCATAGGAGAAAAGCAAAGTAGTTTTTTTATGAGGGCATCAACAGGTCTTAAATTTGAATTGAACAAAATTTATGGGGTACTTTAAATTCACAAGCATTTGTACTGCTTGCTGCTTGTAAAAACCCTCCTGCGTGGTTGGGTTGGCTGCCTTTGTACCCAAAGGAAGCATATGGGGAAGTTATGCACCCCCACCCCCAATATGGCCAATCACAAGAGGAACAGTCTTAAATTTCAAATGTGTTCCTCACCACCCCTCCCATTAACATTCCAATCTCTACTCCCTCCTCAGAGCAATCATTATTAGGTGGTTCAAACGGAGCCAGGGCCTCAACAGAAGCAAGTTTTTGGTGCCCCTGGGGGCCATCTTATTCTGCTTGCCCCTCAACTTTCTCTCTAATCCCTGAGCAAATTGTTAGCTGACGTCTGATTCTGCCACATGGAATCCAAAGGAGTCTTCCGTAAGGTGGGCTCCCCAGCCGATTTCTCACTGTGTGGCTATAATAACAGAGCGTAAGCCAAAATTGCAGGATGGCCCTCTGCCTCCAAACCTATCATTGTCTCTTATTCACCAGACACCCTCTGGTCTTGGCCTTGAACTGTCTATTCCTGGAAGAGATGGTGTAGCCCAGTAGGGAAGAGCCATGGGCACTGGATATAGACTTGGCTTTGAGTCCAGACACTAACTGCTACTACTACTAGGTGCTTAATGTCGTAAGCCTCGGTTTTCTGCAAAATGAGGAAAACCATGCCTGTTTCATCAGGGTTTTCATGAAGAATAAATTCAGCTTCAGCTCACTGCCTGGCTCACAATGAGCCTGTGTTACAACCACCGAAGTCTTCTATCCCAAAGCAGCAAACTCACCTCTTAGCGGGTGAGAGAGCATCACCCACAGAGTAACCTGCAGCATGCAGAGCTGGTGCCTGATCATGCCCTCAGACTTCTCCACTTACTTTTTTCTTTTAGAGACACGGACTTTGGGGGACTAAGCTGGACCAGAGTATAAACTCGGAGAGTATGCAACCCATCTGACTCCTCTTCCCCTTACCCATAGCTATGGAGATCATATTTTATGAACCCCACATGAAATAGAAGGTTTGACCATAACAAAGAATGTTGTAACTGCTGCTGTTTCGTAGAATCCAGAAAGTGTGCCTTCCCCAATGTGCTGTTCACATAGTTGGCTGTGAATAAATGTCTGTGGAATAAATGAATGAATGAATCGGATACTATCACTACCATCACTGGCATATACATGTGTATACATGCACACACACACATATTTATATAATTTTTGCATTCTGCTCTCCCTGATATTTGCTGTATCAATCAAGGTCCCAACAGGAAACAGATGGCCCTCAAACTAGAATAATTCAAGGAGAGCTTAATAAAGTGACTGTTTGCAAAAGTGTGGGTGAGATGGAGAGGACCCACAAGGGATGCTAGGAACAGTGGAAGAGCTGTTACCACTCCTACGCCCAAAGGGATGAGGGCGGGGTGGAAGCTGCAACCGGAACCTGGAAAAAAGAGCATTTCCTGAGAAGACCGCCTTGACAGGATGGCCAGGGGAATAAGTGCCGTGACCTCACTCTCCCTCCTTCAGATCTGCTCCTTATTCCCATGGACTGAGCCCGTGGGAAGCCAGAGGGAAGGGAACCCACGATGCATTTTGTCAGTAGGCAGGGCAGGAAGGATGGGATATGTGGAAGACATTGGGTTCATGGACTATCTTTGAGTGCAA